CTTCTTAATCTCTTCCCCTTTTTCACCACCCCCACCACCACTCCCATCTGGCAGCCATCAAAATGTTCTCTGTCTCTATGAGTTTGTTTCTGTCGTGTTTGTTTGTTTTGTTCTTTAGATTCCACATGTGAGTGAAATCTCATGGCTTTTGTCTTTCTGTGTCTGACTTACTCCACTCAAGCCCAGTATCCTCTAGATCCATCTATGTTGTTGCAGGTGGCAAGATTTCATTCTTTTTATGGCTGAGTAATAGTTCATTGTATATATGTACCACTTCTTCATTATCCATTTATCCATTGATGGACATCCAGGTTGCCTTCATATCTTGACTATTGTAAATAATGCTACCATGAATATATGGATTCACAAATCTCTTCAAGGTAGTGTTTTTGGTTTCTTTGGATAAATACCCAGAAGTGGGATTACTCTCGTTATAGCGTTTGTTTTAAAGTCTGTTTTGTCTGGTATAAGTTTTGCCACCCCAGCCTTTTTGTTTGTTTGTTTCCATCTTCATGAAATATCTTTTTTCATCTCTTTGTGTGTGTCTTTCGATCTTAAGTGAATCTCTTGTAGGCAGTGTGTGTAAGTGTCTTGTTTTCTTAACCATTTACTCACCCTGTCTTTTGATTGGAGCATTTAATCTATTCACATTTAAAGCAATTATTGACAGATATGTAGTTATTGCCATTTTATTATTCATATTTTTTATCCGTTTTCTTCTTCTTAAGTCCCTCTGACATTTCTTGTAATACTAGTTTGGTGTTGAATTTTTGCTTTTCCTTGTCTGAGAAGCTCTTTATCTGTCCTTGGATTCTAAATGATAGCTTTGGTGGGTAGAGTCATCTTTGTTGTAGGTCCTTGCTTTTCATCACTTTGAATATTTCATGCCAATCCCTTTTGGCCTGCAAAGTTTCTGTTGAGAAATCAGCTGACAGCTTTATGGGAGCTCCCTTATAGGGAGCTGCATTTAAGATTCTCTCTTTGTCTTTATCCTCTGGAATTTTAATTATGATGTGTCTTTGTGTGGGCCTGTTTGGGACTCTTTGTGCTTCTTGGCTTGTATGTCTACTTCCTTAGCCAGGTTAGGGAAGTTTTCTGTTGTTAATTCTTTAAATAAGTTTTCAATTCCTTGCACACTCTCTTCTCCTTCTGGTCCCTATGATGCAAATCATGGTACGCTTGATGTTGTCCCAGAGGCTCCTTAAATTGTCCTCGATTTTTTGTGTTCTTTTTTCTTATTGCTGTTCTGATTGTTTTCTACAATCTTCTAAATCATTGATTTAATCCTCTGCTTTCTATAATCTATTGTTCATTCCCTCTAATGTATTCTTCATTTCTGCTTGGTTCTTTTTTGTGTTTTCTATCTCCATTTTTATGTTTTTTGTCTCTGTGTTAAAGTTCTCACTGAATTCATCTACTCTTCTAAGTTCATTGAGTATCCTTATAACTAGTGTTTTGAATTCTGCATCTGGTCGATTGCTTGTCTCCTTTTTCTTTAGTTCTTTTTCTGGAACTTTGATCTGATCTTTCATGTGGGACATGATTCTTTGCCTCTCCATGTCGGCTGCCTGCCTGTGTTTGTTTCTATATATTAGGTAGGGCTGCTGTCTCTCCCAGACTTAGGAGAGTGACCTTAACTGATCACCTGAGCCAGGTGCCCCAAGTATGTCCCTTGTATGGGTTGTATTTGCCCTCCTGTTGAGACTTGGTTGCTGTTTGCATGTCAACAGGAAGGATTGACTGTTGGGCTGATTGGTTGTGAGGACTGGCCAGTGAGAGGTTGACCCTATAGAGCAGGATTTGTTTTAGTAGGGCTCCAGGGCTTGCCCAGTTTGGGAAAGGCCCCAATGCAGGCCAAGTTCAGCTGTAGCCTGTGCCCTGCTTGGGGCTACCTGGCAAGAGTCACCAAGCATCAGCAGATGGCCAGCACCCATGCTGCGCTTAGAGGTACCTTGAGAGGCCAAGCTGTGAACCAAGGTCGGCTGTGACTGGCACTGGCCTTGGGGCTGCTCTGCAAGAGGTACAAGGAGTGCTAAGGCCAGATGCTGCTTGTTTGGGTTTTATGAACCTTTGAGAGATTTTAGGAAAGTCCACAGTATGAGCCAAGTGTCTGGAAAAGCCTCTGGAGGTGGCTTGGGTGGACCCAAAAGTTGGGTGGGGTGGGGTCTTGGAATTACCAGGGTAGGGCAACCAGTGTTAGTCAGGTTGATGGAGACAGATATGGTGGCCTCCTGTGTCTGCATGCCAGGAGTTGGGAGGGTTCAACAAAGAGACAATGGATTCTGCCTGCACTTCTGTCTGGGAGGAAGTTACCCCTCACCCTGAAGCCAGAGAACTCAGTTTCTCTTCATATGTACCTGGTGCCTTCAATGTGTTGCCCCAGTGCTAGAGCTCAGAGCAAGTGAACTGTCAGCGCATAAGTTTGCATGCAGGCCCCTTAAGAGCAATGTCTGTGACTTAAGCCACCCCTCGTCTCTCTCAGCCACAATCTCTGCTGGTTTTCACAGATGGAAGTTGTGGGAACTTTTCTTCCCAGCACTGGAACCCTGGGTTGGGGAGCCTGGTGAGGGGCTAGGACCCTTCTCTCCTTGTGGGGAACTTCACAGCTGAGAAATCCCTCCCGATTCTCAACCACCCCATCCAGGTGTGGGACCAGCCCGTTCCTTGTCTCTGCCCCTCATACCAGTTGCCCTCCTACCAGTCTTCTTGAGGTGGCCTCCTCTGTGTCCCCAGTTATAGCACCTTTGTTCAGCTAGACTTTGGTAATTTCCAGTGGTGGTTTTTCTGTAGTGTAATTTTGATGTGGTTGTAAGAGGAAGCAAGCACAGTGTTTACCTACTCTGCCATCTTGACTGGAACTGGAGATTTTTCAGAATAATCTATGTTATGTGACTTGATTTAGTGCCTGGCATTTACTAAATCTCAACAAATGATAGATTCTGTAATCATAATCATCACTGTTGTTATGTTTTACAGAGAAAAGAAGTAATTTGCCAAGGGTCACATAGCAAATAGGTGGCATAACCTGGATTTCAATCCAGATCTATTTGACTCCAGAGCTCACTATTATAAACCGAAGGAGAGAAAAGGCAAACATCAATACAGCCGCTGCCAGCTTATCTTTTCACATTGCCTTTAAGACCCCCTAGAACATCACTACATGCAAGCTTCTGAAAACATGTCTAGTTTTTTGCTTAAGTTTTGTCAGAAACTTCTTCAGAACTTCTTTTTTCATTTGTTTATCAGTAGTTATTATTATCTTTATTTTATTTACCTCCCAAAACAGCCCTGAATTATCACTGTTTACAGATGTGGAAAGTGAGAGTCAGGTAGTTCAACTTGCCAAAATTATATATTTAATTTGTGGTTAGGCCAAGATTCACACATAGCTTTATTTAACTCCAAAATCTATGGTCTTTTTACTACACCATAGATATAAGATCTTTGCATGGTTAGGATTGCCAGCTAAAAATTCAGGATGCCCAATTAAATTTGAATTTCAGATAAACAATGAACAATTTTGGTATGGCGAATGAAGTATTTGAGACATTTTTAAAATACCACTGTTCAGAAATTAGAGAGTAATTTGCTATAAAGTAAAAATGAGAATTATTTAGATAGAGATACAGGCAACCAAATGAAAAAGTATTTTTAAGTTTAATACTGAGAAAATGCCAAAGAACATTAAAAGAAACATTTATTTGTTAATATATGTAAATTGTAAAGAATGATACAGTGAACATCCATGAATCTACCACACAGTTTTAAAAAAGAACATTATCTTATCCCTTTTTCCCCAAAGAAATTACTTTCCTGAATTTTCATTTCCTTGCTATCCTAGTAGTTTTTCTACATATGTTCAGTCCCTATAATATATTATTTGTTTTTATATAAAATGGAATTATATATTATGTATTTTTCTGCAACTTGATTTTTCAGGAAATATTTATATTCCTGAGCTTTATCCAAGTTATTGTGTGTAGCTATAATTTATTAATTTAACTAAATCCCATTGTATGGCTATACTGTGCTTTCTTTGTTCAGTCTACTGGTGATGGATTTTTGGGTTGTTTCCAGATTTTTTATTTGTTATTTATGACAATGATGTGATGAAGATTGTTCACATTTCATAGTGACCATTTGCAAGAGTTTCTTGAATATATGTTTGGGAGTATAATTGCTTGGTCATAGAAAGTGTGCACATTAAGCTTTCCTAGGTAATGCTACATTATTTTCCACAGTGGTTGTCCTAATTTACGCAACCACTATCAGTCAACATATACATATTCTAACTATTCTACATTTTTACCAACATTTCATATAGACAGACTTTTAAATTTTGCCCATCTGATTGAAATAAAATTGCATTTCATTGTGAATGTAATAGTTAACTTTTAAAAATGATGTTCTTTTGAAATTTATAAATAGGTAGTCCCCAGTGTGACCTTTAGAGTTATTTGGTAATTTTAGAATGCAAAGTGTGAATATTGTCATGTAAAATGGCATAAAATTTCCATTTTTCATTTTTTACTACCTTTGCAGTATATAAAATTATGATATTTTGAAAAATTCAACTTATGTTGGATCTTAGTTAATTTCAAAACACATTTTATATATATTCTAAAGTAATTTCAGAGCAGCATTCTATTACTTGATGAACCCTATAACATTCAGCTGGTTTTGCTGAAAATTTTAAGTTTGGAAATCGAAATCTTAAAAATAACTTTGTACACCAATTCTGTTTATCTTTCTCTTTTCTTTTAATTGGTCCTGATGTTTACTAGTTATAAACAGTTATCTTTTGGTTGCTTAGAGAACTTGTAATAAGGTAGAAGCAAAATTTTCTAAGTAGGTATCTTTTAAGAAACAAAAAGGTTGCGACAGGACAGTATCCAACATTATATGGAAATAATTGTACAGAAAGACAACCTTAAAATAAGATTGGCCTCTTCTGAGAATTTTTTGCCAATTTAAAAAACTCCTTTTATGTTTTATTTTAGCACCAGTATGCATGAGCGAGTGAACCGGACAGAAAGACAATTTCGATCACTTCCAGCTAATCAACAGAAACTACTTCCTCAGTTTCTTTTTCATTTGGACAAGATCCGGAAATGCATTGATCATAATCAAGAAATACTACTGACCATTGTGAATGATTGCATACATATGTTTGAAAATAAAGAATATGGAGAAGACGTATGTAAAAGTTTGTTCTATTTTTTATTTTAGGGCTTAACCTCTATATTTTAATGTCTGTATCTTTCTCGATTTCATTTTTATAAGTTTGCATGGGTCATTTGCGCTACTCAGGGCATGTTTTCACTTATGTGTTCAGTCATTTGATTGGACTTAGTAGAACAGTATACCAGAAACTGAATTTGTTCACTAATTTTTTTTTCTAAGACTACTAAAATAATCTTTGGCATTTTGATACACTTTCAAATACTGTTCTGGCACATAGAGTTTGTGACTTAAATTTTTGTAACAACTTTACTAGCTACATAAAATTAATTTCCCTTGCTAAACTCAGTATCTGGTATCTGTCGATAATCATCTTTTATTTTAAGAAATTATTTTCACTTATGAATCTCAAGGGACTGGCAGTAATAGAAACTGAAGTCCTCTTTTTGTATCCACAGGATAGATACAGTTGGGCCACTCCAGTGTGAGCCTCTCCATGCTGCCTCATCAATGACCTGGAGGGACTTTCTTTTCTCTCTTAGAGAGAGAATGTTCGGTCTCCATAGCAGCTCAGTGCTGGTCCTCTCCTGAGTAAAGAGTGTTTAATTATATGGTAGTTTCATGATTAATGGACCATAATCTATTGAGGGTAGAAGTGAGACCACCACACTCTTTTCATTTAGGATCTCAAGCTGCACTCGAACCCCGGTTGAGGTGAGAGGCCAGTGATTTATCCACTAACCCACCTATATAGCCCCTTAGTAGCATGTCTGTTTAACCATATTCAACATTGATTTCTCAGGAACTAATTGATTTCTCTTTTATAAACAGGGCAATGGAAAGATTATGCCAGCATCTACATTCGATATGGATAAGTTAAAATCCACTTTGAAACAGTTTGTGAGAGACTGGTGTGAAACTGGGAAAGCAGAAAGGGATGCCTGCTATCAGCCAATCATTAAAGAAATTTTAAAAAATTTTCCAAAAGAGAGATGGTAAATAGTATCTTGTTTTTAACCAGTTTATTTAAGATATCTGAGACATTTCATAGTCTTGATTCATTTTTATGGTTGCTGTGTGCCTTTATTCTTTTCATGTGTGAGTGTGTGGTTTTATATTTGTTTTGGGGTGCTTTGTGTGAGGTTGCAGTTAATGTTTCGAATAATTTTTGCTCTAGCATTTACGGGAAATTATCTAGAAATTACATAATGTGGTTAGATTGGATGTTCATTATCAGTGATGTCTTTTTATAATTTGCTTTATGGCAGAGCAAAAACTGCAAACTTTTAATTTTCCTCATGACATATTTGTAAGCACATGAAGGATTGATAGCTTAGAACAGAGATTCTTCACTTTTTTATGTCATGAAAACCTTGAGTAGTCTAAAGCCCATAATCTGCTTTTCAGAATAACATTTGTAAATGTTTAAGATAAAATACATAGGATTATGAAGAAACCAGTCATTTTGAAATATAGTTATCAAAATACTTAAAAAGCAAATTTGTGATATAATCTGCTTTTTATCATGTATCATATTAAATAAAATCTAGCAGCAAGTGTTATTGTGTTTTGAAAATACTGAATGGTATGTATATTATTTTGAGAATCTCGACAGCTAATAAGAAGTTAAAATATATGTGGTTTGTTTGGTGATTAAGTCACAAGTATTTCTAAAACTACTGTTGTTTGTTGCCCACATTTATAATTGAAGAAAAAATATCAGTTAAAAGTTAATGAAATTAAAATGTAATTTTGTTTTTCTTATCACCTTCTTAGATCCAGTGATTTCTCTCCATAGACCCCTTGGGTTCATGGATCTCAGGTTAGGAACCCCTGACTTAGAGACTGTATGTTTAAAGAGAACCACTGAATGGAGTTTAGTCTGTCATTTAAAAGGTCTTTGTAGAGAGGCTTCTTTTCCTCATCTCTTTCCCCTCCTTAATGATTAACATCTCTAAGTTTGGTATATACTTCCAGAAATTTCAATACTTGTGTGTGTGTATTCTTCCTCTCTTTAAAAAAAAAAAAAAAACAAACTATTTCAGAATAACTTCAAAATTACAAATAAGTTGTATGAATTATACAGATAGCTCCCATATACTAAATTCGTCAATTCTTAACATTTTACATTTGCTTTATTATTTCCTTTACCTGTTTCCCTCTCTCCTTCCTTCTCTCACTTCATGTGTATGTTTAGTATATACATATACATTAAATATATATACACAATTATTAAGCCATTTAAGAGTAGTTTATGTATATCTTGTTTTTTGCTGCTTTAAACTTCAGAATAATGATATTCTCTTACATAACGATATTTTCTTACATAAACACCAAATTAAAGAAATTTAACTGAATACTGTTTTCTAATTTACAGTCTATATTCAAGTTTTATAAATTATCTTGATAATGTCCTTTGTAACACTCATTTTTTTTGTCCAGTCTAGAATCCAATCCAGAGTACTGTGTTACATTTGATCGTAATGTCTTAGTCTTTTAATCTAGAATAGTTCTTTGGCCTTTTTTTGACTTTATGACTTCATAGTTTTGAAGAATGTAAGGAAGTTATTTTATAGACTGTTCCACAGTTTGACATTGTCTGACATTTCTTCATGATTACATTTAGACTATATGTCCCCTGTCAAAATAATATGTGTTTTGTCTGACATTTCTTCATGATTACATTTAGACTATATGTCCCCTGTCAAAATAATATATAATTGATGTTTCCTTTTCAGGATACTGTGACATACAATGTCTGTCAGCCCATCATTGATGATTTTAATTTTGATCACCCAATCAAGATGTTATTTGGTTTCCCTACTGTTTAGTTCTGTTCTTGAAACTAATAAGCAGTTTCTGGGGAGACACTTTGAGACCATGCAGTTAATATCCTGCTACTTCTCACACCTTTTCCCTCTTAGAATTATCGCTCATTGATGATTCTTGCATGAACTAACCTATGCTATGATGATTGTGGAATGGTGATTTTCTAACACTACAATTATCAGTCAGCATTCTACTATGTCAATATATCTATTATCAGGATGGACTCATGGTTCCCATTTTATTCAGTTATATTCAACAGTTATAATCCATTATTGTTGTTTTTTTATTTTGTTTTCACATTGCCTCAGATTTAGCCAACAGGAATGCTTTCAATTGGCTCCTATGTCCTTTTGGCATGCCGTGGTCCAGTCTTTTTTTTTTTTTTTTTTTTGAGCACTTCCTTACTTTCTGGCACAGTAAGATGTTTCAGTCACATCTTGTATCTACCCTAGTTCAGTCCTGGAATGGGGAATACTTTTTAAGGACCTGGTTCCTTTTAATGCAGAATTGTGTATAGAAACCAAGATCTGGCACTAGGCATGTTCATTGTTAATAAGATGTCATTGCTTCTGGGCCTCTCTGTGGAGAGAACACACACACAAAATCATGAGGTTACACTGATACCTCCAATTCATCCAACCCCACTGGGTTTTTCCTTGGCTTCCTTCATTCTCTATATCTGTCTGCTTTTTTCCACAGTGAGGACCCTGGCTTCTGACAACATCAATACATTTACTTATTTACTCAATCCTATAATAAAAATAAAATGGTTTCAGAATTGCTACATCCATACCACTATGAAAAAAAAAACAAAACTACCCAAAGGAGTTCAGGATTAGCTAGCCATTATTTTTCTTCCTAAACCAGAAGTATTTGATAAAAATATTCTTCACATTTTATTTATTTATTTTAGCTCCCCTTCAACCTTCTCACCCTCAGTGTGGTTGTCTTTTATTGGAAATTCAGTACATTGAGGTTTATTTGTTTCTGCTTGCTTTCAGTTCTAGGATCTTGTGATCCTGGTCCCCACCTCATCCTTGTCAATATATTTTTATTTTTTGATTTGGGGACGACTATTAAGTAGGCAAAACCCTATTCCTTCTATACCCCATCTTACCCTCCATCCTCAATCCCACACCACGTGTAGGTAATCAATATCACTGATTTCTTGTTTATCCTTCTTGTTTTTGTTTTTTATGAAAGTAAATAGATACATATTTTTAAGTACCCCCCTTTTCGTACACAAAATGTAGCATACTGTATATTTTATTTTGCACTTTGCTTTTTTCACTTAACAATACATCCTAGAAATAGCTACATATTAGTTCTCAGTTCATGGAAATAGCTACATATCAGTTCTTCACTTAACAATACATCCTAGAAATAGCTACATATCAATTCTCAGTTCATGGAAATATTCTTCCTAGGTCTTTTTTTTTTTTTTACAGCTTCAGAGTATTTCAACCAATCTCCTATATTTGGTTATTTAAGTAGTTGGCAGTATCTTATGATGATAAATAATGCTACAGTTAATAATCTTAAGCCTATGTATCTTTGTATTGTTGGAAATATATCTTTAGTGAAAATTCTTAGGTGTGGGATTGCTGCATTTGGATGGTAAATGTGTGTGTAGTATGGTTTGTGTACTAGTTATCCATTGCTGCATAACAAATTACCACAAATTTAATTGCTGAAAACAACACACATTTCATGGTTTCCGTGGGTCAGAAGTCTGGGCAAGGCTTAACTAAGTTCTCTGTGTATAGTCTTATAAGGCTGCAATCAAGATGTCTGCTGGGCTGTGTTCTCATTTACAGGCTCGGCTGTGGAAGTATCTACTTCCAAGCTCATTCATATTGTTGGCAGAATTTATTTCATTGTTGTTTCAGGCCCTGGCTTCTTGTTGACTGTGGGCTTTCACAAATGGCCACTTCATCAAGCCAGCACGACAATGTAGAGCAAGCAGGCGCCAAATAGAGTCTTACATAATGTAACATAATCATAGGTGTGACATCTGTTCGTTAGAAGCAGCTCATAGGTTCTGCACACACTCAAAGGGAGGAAATTATAAAGTGATGTGACAGCAGAAGGTGGGGGTCACTTTAGTGTCTGTCTGCCACAGTTTTTGCCATATACCCTACTATGAGAGTTGTACTGTTTTACCTTCCTACTAGCAATGTATGAAAGTGCCTGTTTACTCACAGCATAGCCTTGCCAAACATATTATATTATCAAGTATTTGAACTTTTGTCAGTCTAATTGGTGGGAAATTATATCTTGGAATAATTTTAATTTGCATTTCTCTCATTATGAGAGAAGTTGATTGAATATCTTTGTATGTTTAAGGGCCATTTTGTATCTTGTTTTTAGAATTATACATGTCTTTTTCCTCATTTTTAAAAATTAAGACGATGAAATGCACATAAAAAGGTAACCATTTTAAAGTCAACAATTTAGTGGTGTTAAGTACATTCACAATGTTGTGCATCCATCACCTCTACATAGTTCTGAAACATTTTCATCAACCCAAAATAAACCTCATACTCATTAAATAGGTGCTCCTTATTCCCTTCATCCCACTCCCCACCTTTGTTTGTCAGCAGTTTGAATATAAAGTGCCTAGACATGGTTTTCTTTGTCTTTATCCTGCTTGGGGTTTGCTTTGCTTTTGAGGGTCTGAGTAGATATATAACACCAAATCAAATGTTCATTGCTCTTCTCTTTCCAGATGTATCTCCTACCCTTTTCTCTATTTCTTTCTCTCCTGGGATTCCAGATGCATGTACATATATTAAACAGTTTGATATTGTCTTGGGTTTCAGATAACTCTTTTTCCATATTGTCCCTGACCCCTAACTCTTTTTATATTTTAGTTTGGATAATTTCTATTGACTTTGCTTGAACTTCACTGATTATTTATTATGCTGGTCTGTTGATAGACTCATTGAAGCTTCTTTATTTCTGATAATCACATTTAAAAAAAATTCTAGCACTTCCACGTATATATTTTCGTGTGTATGTGTGTTCTTGCTGCTGAAGTTTCCTATTCGTACATGTGATTTGCCTTTTCCCCTTGATTCTTTAACATATTTTTAATGGTTATTCAAAAATTTCTGTCTCACGATTCTATCTAACATATGTGCTCTTTGTGGGCCACCTCTGTTGA